AAACCCAAGAAACCCAGACTTAACTCCCCAAGAATCCAACTCCTTAATTTGGGAGTGGTCTCCTGAGTCATTTGCAAATGAATACATAATAAGGCCCAATTCAGAAACCATTAAAAAGACATGAGGTCTCTACGTCTTGTTTCTTACACTACCACAACCACTTCCCCACTCAAAACAGTCTATGATGGTTCATCACTGACCATTTGGTGTAGATAATTATTTTATATTCTATCTACACTCCTAATCCTGTAGACATTGTGCCAAAGAGCACGACTACCTCCTTCTAGAATTCTTCTTTTAAAAAAAGACAATTAACTTCTTCAAAAAGACGTTTAACTGTTAAATAACATGTTCTCTGAAAAATAATGCCAACACTTCAGCAAGCCTTTCCCAATTTCACTGCTGAAAAACTCATGATCAACAAGACCTATCAGTCCTGAGCCAACTACCCTAGTTAGTAACCCCACCAGTTCTAGGATTTTCATGCTTCATTCCCAGCTGTACACACAATAGTCAAAACAATGAAACCGGATCCACAAACAAGAAAACTTAAATTCTTTTTTCAATTATTCTCCTGCTCCTTTTCTGCTCTTATTTTTCACATATTGTCAGAGTCAGAAACGAAACATCAAACAGCCATCAAAACTCATGAGTGACTTGAAGGCAAATGGAACATCAGCTTCAGCTATCTATCCCCTCTGCCTAGCCCTGCGCCGGACTCCGTGAGAGGGGCACAACAAAGTGGTGAATGGAAGAAAGTGGACGCTTTGTAAAAGTGCTTTCCACATACATCAAACAAACACTTTTCTTCTGTCGACATCCTCCAAGGTTATTCTTCTTCTCCCCTCTGCAAATGTGCAGCTTTTGCTTGTTTGCCTGCTTATGTTTTCAACAGACTTAAGCTATGTTTCAGTTTCATGCTGTCTGTGCCAACTCCGCTTGCACCTCCGAGAGCTACTCATAAAACAGTAGCTTGCAGATTTATCTGTCAGAAAAACTGTTGAAGTGCTGGAGAAGAGTTCCATTATCTACTGCAAAGTTTGCTTTAGGGAAATAAAGAAAAGCAGATATTTGCATAACTAAAGATTACAACGCTCATCTCAGCCCTTCTGATGTCTATCAACAAGCAGACCAGCAAAGTCAGATTAAGTTCAGGCGCACTCCACCTGATTCCTCATGACAGCTGGGAGGCATGTAACCAATGCTGAGAGTGAATGAGTCTCTTTCCAGGATGGGAACACGCATCATTCTCAGACATCAGCAAGAACAGTAGCTGAAGCTTTCCAAGACTTTTTTTTTTTTTTCAATTAACAGGCTCATGAAGAAATTCTCAGCCTTATCTGAAACATGCACTGCAGAAATATGAGCAACAATGAAAAGTCCAGAATTCAATAAATTCGTGACCACCATATGTTATCAACTCAACTTATAAAGAATCCCGTGTGTGTGCATGCACGCGACCATGTACACAAATGCCTGGGCAGGTTCACTCCTTCCTAGGATGACTTGGTACAGACCCAAATCCTTCACAGAGAACTAGTGATGTGGTTACTGACAGTTCACACACATTACAGATGATTTTAAAAACTAGGTATGTGAATGACTCTTCTTCATTGTTTAGAGTCCATTACCTGGTCATACAATCCCATACACATTTCAGTCACTCACTAATGATTACTAGATTTCCCTGAAAACCACCTTTTGAGTTGCAGCCTTTCAACAAAATCTCTCAGTATCACTCAGCTCCTGATGCCACCACTGCAATTTCCCTTTCCCATCTGCCTGGGACATCAGTGTGAAGCTGGTCTGTGCTTCCCACCCATATTCCATCGCTTTGCAGCTGTCCCTTCAGTATCCATGCTTCTCTTTCTCTGCCCCACACGCCGAGGAAAGACAGGAGCAGGATATAAGTTTTAGGAACTCTTTTTATGAAGACAGTATGGGATGATGTACTAACATCAGGCTGTTTCAAAGTAAATGTATGCAGGGTTTTATGACCAGTGTAGGTATTACTACAAACAGTAAAAGACTCAAAAGACTTTCAAAAGTAGCAATCATTCTTTTCCTCTCTGTCTCTCCTCTCTGTATATCAGACTTTCCAATAAAAATTTAAAAAAAAATCTTTTTAAAAATGGGTCCAGCACAATAGCCTAGCAACTAAAGTCCTTGTCTTGCACACACCAGGATTCCATTCCATGTGAGTGCAGGTTCGTATCCCGGCAGCCCCGTTTCCCATCCAGTTCCTTGCTTGTGGCCTGGGAAAGTAGTCAACGACAGCCCAAGGCTTTGGGATCCTGAACCCACATGGGAGACATGGAGGAGACAGACTCCTGGCTCCTGGTTTCGGATTGGCTCAGCTCCAGCCATTGCAGCTGCCTGAGGAGTGAATCAATGGATGGAAGATCTCTCTCTCTCTCTCTCCTCCTGTCTGTATATCTGACTTTCCAATGAAAACAAAATAAGTCTTTTATTTTTTGTCATGCATGGATTTTTTTTTCACGTAGATTTTGTAGTAAATTCAATGAGAAATATACAACCCCCTTGATTACATAGAATCACTAGGGAAGAATTGACATCTTGACAATACTAGTTTCCATCCAGAGGCTGACAGTGTATTTGTTGAGGTTCATTTCTAGTACAGTTTAAATTTTTTCTCAAAAAGGTTTCATGTTTTCTTTATAAATTCCTAAACACATTATTTTTATTGAAATTGTGAACCCTGTCATTTGTGTTTCATTTTCTAGACAGCTAATACAAATATTTTCTAGATAATTGATTTGGTCATGGGGCAAGCGCTGGCAGCTTTGGTGACTCTAAAAAAGGTATTAAAAAATTAGTGATTATTCTAACATGGTGTTCTTTTAAGTTCTGGAGTTTGTTCTAACAAAAAACAACAACAACAACAACATAGTGACCCTTCCTGAGTGTGTTTCGTTATCCAAGGAGAAAATGTGATCCCTTGAATGAAAAGCAATCCTTGGTGAAGGAGACCACTGGGTGTCTACGCAGGAAGTGCTAGAGGGACAAAAAGCAGTGTGCACGCCTAAGGTGGGAGAGACAAAAGTTGAGAATTTCTGTGACTGGGTAGTCACTCTTACCCCACCACATTTTCTAGGTGACTTTAAGACGTATGTTATTTTGTAGAAATGTTGCTGCTTTGAGAAACAAGGGCTGTCACTTAAATTCATGTGACATCTCTGTCGCTATCTTATTAGAGTAGAAACTACAGCAATTGGAATGGCTGTTTCAATTTATCTTTCTTTTAAAAGGGAACATGAAATAATTATGTGCCCTGGGAGGGGAGGAACTGAAAGGCTTACAAGAGTGAAGTTACAGATCTGGGAGAATTTTCACTTTTTTTTTTTTCAATAACATCACATTGGAAAGCAGGCTGTCGTGTCACTACTGAGTCACGACTTCTTTTACTACGTTGTTTTCAATGAGTCAAACTTGGCCCGTTGGAGAGATTTCCACTTAGTTTAAAGCAATAGTTAGATCTCAGAAGTGAAATAATATTTCCTGCAGTAGAAATCAAATTTTGCAGATAGAGAACACTAGCGCTCAGATCACACAGTATATGTAACATTCAGTCCTCCGTTTTCCACTCTATTCCTACTCTGCTAATATGCACAAAAGGAACATTTGCACTGTACATATTTTGGATGATATTTTTCGCCCCACTTCTCCTTACCTAAAACAAACTCTGAGTTTCAGCAGCTGCTCCCAATCAAAGCCAACATATTCATCCCTTGAACCCAAGGAAGATCAGTTTCAGGATGCCCACAAAGGATTACTTTCCACAGATATTTAAGTGCGTGATGGACTTAATTCAAGGAGTAGCGACTACATAAAGCCTGCACACATCCTTCCAATGCACCTTAAATCATCTCGACTACCTTCAATACCTAATATGATGTCGACAGCTAGGTAAGTAGTTGCTATCTCAAATCCTTTGAGGTAACCAAAGGAAGCAAAGAAGGTTGGCACAATCGCAGTTTTTGTCCATACTTCCTGCATGAAATAGGTGAGCCAACTTATGTGGAATGCATGGACACAGCGGGCCAACGGTACTCAGAGACAAGAAGACCCTTACATCATCAGAACTGTTCAAGACAGGGCTTCCATTTGAGCTGTTGTATCATGCCAAATGCTCATTTCATTGGCTTTTCCAGATAATTTTTAATCTTTTTATTATTATTACTATTACTATTATGATCATCATCATTTTATGATACAGTTCCATAGGCCCCTGGGATTTCCCTTATCCCCTCCCCAATCCTCCCTCACCAAGTTTTGCTATATCATTACTAAAGTATAGTTCTTCATACACAGTCATATGTCCATCCTTGTGAGCATGCACAATGGCAGAGACCGCATCATCCTATTGTCATATAGTAAACAGCTTCACTGTAAGTCCATCTTTAGTCTGGAAGTAGAGATGCACACTGCATTGCATACTCACATCTGGATATGATAGTCTCCATTTCACAATTACTGCACATCCCCTTAAGTGAAAAGTCACAATACAAAATCAACAATAGGAAGAAAAATTAAAATTTACAAAGCCATGAAGTTAAATAACATGTTACCAGATATGAAAGTCTCCATTACATAGCTACTAAAGATCCCCTTAAATGAAAAGCCACAAACAGGAAGGAAAAAAAAAAGAAATTAATTTCCAGATCATTTTTAAAGAAAAAGGAGCACAAGAAAGGGTGGAAAATGTTGAGAGATACTCAGACAACACAGTGTATTATGCAGTGACTGCATATAGATATATAATACACCTACATAGTGTAGAGATACATAGAGGTATGATGTGTGTAAATGCACCTGCAAAAGTAGTCTTGACAGGTGGAAGGGGGAATGAAAATATATTACAAAAAAAAATCTTACCAAAATGTACGCAGTATAGTTTTTAACGGCCCTCTTGCATTTTTTTAAGGTTTTATTTTGGTTTCTGCTTCTTTCAAGAGTTTCAGAGATCCTTTATTTTTGTTTTATATGTATGCTATGAACTCACAGCAGATGGGTTCCAATAGTTCAGGTTCCTTCTCACGGGCTCTGACAAAGTCGGCTGCTCCGGGTGGAACAGACTGGTGCTTTAGTCAAACTCAGGTACCTTCCTCTTTGGCTTCTTTTTTTTCCTGATCATTTTCCTTCACCCATTTGAGGAAGCAATCTCGTCTTTCAGAGCGTTTAATATGCTCAATATGCACATTATTCTCCTGGCAAGAATCCTGCCCTGATGTGTTTCTGACAGTGCCAACAGCATGCTGCGTAACAGTGTAGACTCTTCCAGTGTTGCCATGGTCACATTTATGGGGCATTTCTTTCCGAACGGTACCCATTCCCTTGACGTCTACAATGTCACCAGTTTTGTAAATGTGCATGTATGTGACTAAAGGAACAGCTCCACCTTTTCTAGAAGACCTGGAAAATATGTGACAGATCCCTTTGTGTTCAGCATCTTGCCGAATTACTGAAGGAAGAGGGCTTTTCTCTCTGCCATTCAAGAACGGGAAGGAGGCCACAGTTTTTGCTACGGAGTCGATCAAGCATACACATTTAACCAAGTGCCTATGACAGAGTTCAAAAGTGCACATAATCCTATTGCACAGTTACTCGTCTTATCCTTTGTCAAAGCCATCCCAGCAAAGGATTTGGCTTGCCAGCCCAAGTAAGAGATACAGAACATGAAAAGAGGAAGATGATGGTAGAATTGCATTGTGCCTATTTAAAATATTTGATATAGCACAAAAGATGGCCTGGTCAAAGAACAGTCAGAATAAAAACTTCATAACCGAAGAAAATTGAGAGCCCTGATGTCAAACACATCAAACAAAAAGTTAAGAAGAGACATTTAATTGTCTATTCAGGAGCAAGAGAATCAGGCTGCCATTTGTACTTATATTTTTCTTAGATTCCATTCTTGTGAAAAATTTAGCATTTCCAAGCATCTTTTTTGCTTTCCACATCTGTTTAATTCAATCTACACTGGGTGGCCTTCTAAGCAGAAAGTATGACATATTCTTTCGACTTTAATTGTAGAAAGCGCAGGTAAAATTACAGTCTAATTTGTAAGGAATTGAACGGGTAAATTTGCTCATTCTTGTTCTGATTCCACAGTCAAAAGCAGCTGGTGTTTAAACAAGGTCCAGACAGTTCAAAGCCAATCAGAACAGGTTATTCTCCTTTTCCACTTCTGACTGTGAAAGGCCTGATGCCAGGTTATCATTTCCAGAAAACCCCTAGACCAGCAAAACTTGCAGAGACTTCCTCTTTTTTCCCTTCTTTCTGAATTGTTAGTTGGTCTCCCAACACATTTTGAATGTAACCTTTTTAATCCCTGCATTTGCAATTAGAGATTAAAATTCCATTCCAAGAGTCATTCTGCAGATGGCATAGCATGTAAAAAAAATGGGAGGTATTTTAAAATTGTATTTATACAGAACACCAGATGAATTTGCCAGGCTGTTTCTTCCTTAGCTCTTGTGAAAATTGATTGTTTAAGATGCAGATTTTATTTGCTTCGATTTAGCATTTTTATAGGATTTTAAAGCATCAATTAATCCATGTCTTTTGTTCAACACAGTTGCTCTAAATACAAAAGTAAAATCTGTATTTAAAGAAACTGCCTCCTGAGGTTAAGTCACCTGTGCCAGGTCACCAGGGCTGGATCATAAAGATCACATGATGATGGAATAAGCATGTCACAGAACCAAGGTGTCCATTACATGGTAACCTCATCACATCTCAGACAATACTAATAATTTGATTCTTCAGATTTTTTTTTTTTTTGGCTTCAGCTTCTTATAAGAATCTTTAAAAATCCTATAGCTTTCCAACTTTTTATTGACATGTAATAAAGTACATAAGCATATAACTTGTGGATTTTTGTAAAAGTAAGTTATAACCTTGCAAATTTAGAAATTGAAAAATTACTGGCACAATAGAAGGTCTTTCTAGAACTCTTTCAGGTTCCCTCCCAGTTTGTCTCCTTTCCCAAAGATAACCTCTATTCCAGTCCTAACCCCAGACGCCGATAGTGTCTGGGACTCTCCTATTACAGCTGCACACAGAGGTGCTCTGTCCACGGCCTTAGACGCCAGTACATTTTATAAACCCAACTTCTCCATTTTAGTTTTGATGAGCATTCAGGGTGCTGCTAGTTTCAGACATTACAAGGGGTATTTTTGTAATCATTGTGTATAGGTCCACTGCTTTTAGTGAACATATATACGTATTTCTGATAACATCAGAACTAAGCGCACCTTCGCTGGGTCACTGTTCTCTGAAATGAGTATGCCAATTTGCATAGCCCTCAGCTAGAGGAAAAGGGTGCCACTGCTCCACGTCCTTGGCAGCACTGGACACCTTCAGCAATCTGGTGACTTAGGCATTGGTTTTACATCGCAATTCTATTTTGTGCTTCTCTGCTGACTGATAAAGTCAGGGCATCTCTTCATATTTATTTCCCAATAGAGACGTATGTGTTGAAGTTGTTTCACTATAACTACTTTGTTATACTGATATAAATCCTTTCAGATTAGTACATTGCAAACGCATTCCTGCATTTTTATATTATAGAGTCCTAAAGAATTTTAAAGATAGCCAAGTGACTGACTAGTTTTATGAATAACTATTACTCATTTCTTAAGAAATTTTGTCTTGGGACTGGCTCCATGGCTCAAACAGGCTAACCCTTCACCTTGAAGTATCAGCACTCCATATGTAGTACGAATTCATGTCCCAGGTACCCTATTTCTGATCCAGCTTCCTGCATTTGGCATGGGAAAGCAGTGGGGGAGTAGCCAAGTTCTAGGACCACTGCACCCACAGGTGACACTGTAGAAGAACATTCAGAATCTTTGCTATTGTGGGAGACACAGCCAGTTGAATCTCCCTGGAAAGTCACCAGGAGCAGTTGATGTGGAGATGAATGAGCAGGAAACCCCCTGGTTCACAGGTTTAGATAAAGAACCTGAGAGAGGAACTAGCTGTGTTTTGGGGAACTGCACCTTGCTGTTGAGATGTAAATGGCTCAAGCCCCTCCTCCCCGGATCCCTACACCACAACCTTGCTTTAAAAGTCTGGTGCTGTCAATACACTTCGGCTATTGACCACCAGTCAGTAGTCCATGCGTGTTATGATCATCTCCGTGCAATAAGTCCATTGCTGCAGGACAGCAACAGGAGACTGGGAAGAATCTCCTGGTGCCCGACTTCGGATCAGCTCAGCTCTGGCTGCGGCAGGCATTTATAGAGTGAACAGTGGATAGAACACATTTTTTCTCTGTCTCTCCTTCTCTATGTAAACCTATTTCTAATAAAAAAAAAAACTTAAATAAATATATTTGTCTTTCTAATATTCACATAGTAAACTATGCTATTTTTTCCTTTTTAAAAAAGATTTTTTTTTATTGGAAAGTCAGATAAACATAGAGGGGGAGAGACAGAAAGGAAGATCTTCCGTCCAATGATTCACTCCCTAAGTGACCACAATGACCAGAGCTGAGCCGATCTGAAGCCAGGAGCCAGGAGTCTCCTCCAGATCTCCGACGCGGGAGCAGGGTCCTAAGTCTTGGGCTGTCCTCAACTGCTTTCCCAGGCCACAAGCAGGGAGCTGGATGGGAAGTGGAGCTGCCAGGATTAGAACCAGCACCGATATGGGATCCTGGCATGTTCAAGGCGAGGACTTTAGTTGCTAGGCTACCGTGCCAGGCCCAACTATATTATCTTCTAAACTATTCGGTGTTTTTGCTTTTTATACTGGGTATATATTTGTTTTTTCTATTTTTATTTGTGTGCTTAAATATTTTATCAATCCAGTACTGCTACTGGAAAAGGTCACCTTTACTCTATGCATTATGGTAATATTTTATGTTAAGTGATTTGCAGGACAAAAATAATGGTCAAAATTCTCCTATATTACATATGTAAAATCTTATCATAAAGATATTGGGAAAAAAAGACACAATAAGTATAATACACAATAGGGTATAAGAAGCATATCTAACCAAACAATACAATGTATGCATAATATTTAGTTAATTACTGATATTTAACACATTATAATTATTATTCTTAAACCAAACAGCAATATTTAAATAGTTCATCCTAAAGGAAGATATTTACTATAGGCATTTTATACTTTATAAAGTTATAAAAGTTGCCTTTTTTCGTATATTTGCATTTCATCATATTTTCTTCTATAAAATTTCACTTTCTCTGAGTTTGGCTTTTTTCCTTAATGCAGACATTTCAATTGCCTTTGACTATATTTTCACATATTTTACCCATGATATCTAAATTGCTACAACAAATTATTAAACTATTTTATATATCTTAATGTTTATAGATGTTGATGTGATGTAATTTTCTTCATTTATGATAGGAATTAAGTTGTGCTTTCTTGCTTCTTGAAAGATAAATAAACATTTATACAAACACATAAGAACATCTTAAATTTATTATTAACATTGGTAATACCAGTGAGAAAAATGTTATCTTCTTTGTATTTTCTTTACAATAAAGTTGATTTGCATTATTTTGTGTTTTATTATTTTCTATTAATGATTTCTTTTAGGGAATTTCCCAGTTTTTCTAACTCTGTTATTTAGATAATGAAATCTTTGCCTTTCCACCATTTCTTTCTTTTCTAATAAAAATAAGGATATACATTTTCTTACAGGTCCAGCTGAATCTACATTTAACTTTTAATAAACGTGTATCCCTTTGTTTAAAAAACTTTTTCAAATTGTATCTTTATTTAATTTCTGACTCAAAAATCATTTTGAAATATCCTTTCTAAAGCTGATCTCCCATTACTTTTACTCTGTTTGGAAACATATCCTATGTATGACTGTGATCTGAAATTTGTAAGGAAATTTTATGATCAACTCAGGATTTATTTCATGTACATTTGAAATGAATGAGCTCATTATTGTTACAGCATTTTGTTTTTGTTGATTAAATAATATTATAGGCTGATAAAATTTCCTATATGTATTCATGTTTTATTTTCAGAGATAAGTTCAAATCTTCAATTTTCATTTGGAAAAGTAGATTTTTTTTTAAGCAGGGTAGCTTTGGGCCCAGCATGGTACCCTAACAGCAAAAGTCCTCACCTTGCATACCCTGGGATCCTATATGGGCACCGGTTCTAATCCCGACTACCCAGCTTCCCATCCAGCTCCCTGCTTGTGGCCTGGGAAAGCAGTTGTGTATGGTCCAGGGCCTTGGGACCCTGCACCCATGTGGGAGACCCAGAGAAGTCTCCTGACTCCTGCTTTGGATTGGCTTAGTTCTGGCAGTTCGGGCCACTTGGAGTTTGAATCAACAAGGCCATGGGACCCTGCACCTGCATGGGAGTCCTGGACTAGGCTCCTGGCTCCCAGCTTGGATCAGCCAGGCCATTGCAGCCACTTGGGGTGTGAATCATCGGATGGAAGATCTTCCTCTCTGCCTCTGCTCCTCTGTATATATCTGGCTTTCCAATAAAAATAAATAAATCTTAAAACAAAAATTACTTAACTGATTTTACTTTAACTATTCAATTGTTAATGCAAAAACAAAATGATAGTATTTTTTTCATAGATTGGAAT